CAGAGAAGACAGTGTGCGCAGAACTGGGAAGAAGAGATCATGGCAATCTTACCAATCTTGCTTTTTGTACAACCCTATTGCCCAGTGACTGATGAATTATGCAGCCCAAATCTGGGGAAATGGAGAGATCAAACTGCAAATTGGGGTACAGATCAGACTGATCATGCCTGAGAGCTTACTGGTGATGCTAATCAATTCCCAGCTGTTGTACATTGTCTGACTAGCTTGTGCTGGTGATCTAATGTTAATTCTTTCTTGTAGAGCCACAGAGTTAGGAGGGGTCTGTTTGGATCATTCACTCAAAATTTTGTTGGGAGGTGCAGAAGCCTATGTTCTCTGCATTTCCAACTGACATTGCAGAGATAGAGACACAGCTTTGTGAAGTGGGCAGTATCAAATGAAAGCTCATGCTAAAACAATTTGGTTAGTCCTTTTAAGGGCCCAATTTGGCTATTTTCTTGGAAAATCTATGAATCGGTAATCAGTTGATTATTCAGGTAATTTGTTGCATACCAGGGCTGGAAATGTCACACACCAGAGTTCAATATAAGCAAAGCAGTTTATTGAAGAATAAAAATAGCTTCAGCAAAAGGATAAAAAATGATCAAAAGTAGTATAGCTTATTGTCCATAAAAAGAGTCACTTAAACATGGAAAACAAGAATCCAAACATCAAGTTCAGGAAACAGGAATGTCCAAAACCATGACAAGATCTAAAGGCAACAGGAGTCTGTGATTCCAGAATAATTCAGGACAGCAAAACCAAAGACACATGAAAACACAGGAACAAAACTTGAGCATTAAATCCAAGGCATGAAGAGTTACAGGAATATCAACATGAATGTTTATCCAAGGCACAAGAAACTTGAACACAAAACAAGAATTGCTGTCTAAACCAAATGTTGGTTCCTCTGAAGACACAATCTCAATTGCCCTCATTTATAGTAAAAAACAAACAAACAACCCATGCCTTTTCCCTTGAGAAGACTTGAGAGGAACCCTCTTGTCAATTAATCTTTGAGAGCAGCGACTCTCCCCAGCCATGTCTTTGTTGACAAATCTGACTCCTTCTATCAAAAGAGGCATCCTCTCCTGGATCCCCAATTAAAACATTCTTTTCACATTCTGATCTTGACTCCCTTGGGAAACCTAACACAAGACTGTCAGCCTCTTTCTCTATCTGTACTGGCACATCTAATTCAGGCTTGACCATCCCAGAATCCTCAGCTTCATCATGGCTAACAACAGTCTCTCCGGTCCAACATTCCCATTTCCAGACTCCTGTTGGATATTGGACATTAGACACTGAAACCTCAGGCAATGGAACAAGTGCAGGCTAAACCACTCCACAATTTTCATTCGGGGTATGTATGAATTCTGAACAACAAAGGAAGTGGGTTTGAGATTTTTGGGAGGTGGGGATGTCCTCCCTTGTTTTATGTGGCCAAAGCAGCCGCTTAAGCATGTGTTGCCAGTTGAAAATAAAGAGGGTGACTTTAAAAGTATGGAGTCTGCATTATGCAGCTTCACCTTGGGTGGGTTGGTCACCATTTATTTCACCCTCAAATGATTTAGCTGATTTTGTGTTTGCTGCGAGGGTTGTGGGAGGAGAAAATGTAGCAACCATCTCATGAACATAATCATATATTTGGGAGCCATTTCAGTGCAACTATTTTGTATCATGCAGCGTGCTTTCTACATTGTATGTGTGTCAGCATTATTGATATTCTTTATCAAGAAAAGAGCAAATACTGTAACCTGTGGAAATAGTGCAAACTAGGCCCCTGTGTCTCATTGTTTTGTACTATTCTGCAGTGTCCATTTATTCCATCACTCAGGGAAGAGAGGAAGTCTGTGCTCAGTAGGATATGCCTGAAACACACACACTCCAATCACTGGAAATCCTCTTCAGTAGCTCCTCTGAATTCTAAAAATAAAATCAGAGATTTCCTTAAACTCTCCACAGTTTCTTTCTAATTACACATGAGATTGTAACACTGTATATCAAGTCCCAATTTGGCAGACAGTCCTAATTAATTCTCTGTCATCCCACAGTTTTGTTACTTTCAAAACATTCCATTTTTATCTTTTTTTCCCCTCCACCTTTCATCCTTAATCCTCAGCATTACTTCAGTTGCTGGAAAATGAGTTCAAAGTACAAAGATAGTTTGCACTGAATTAACTTAGAAGGGAAGAGTGAGTAGAAGGGTAGGAATTTTGCCTTTCCAAGTAGGCTCTGGCAAAAGCAAACTGCTTGCAGTCTCTCCCACCTTTCTCATTGATGACTTTTGCCATCTTAACCAAACTCTGAAGGTTTTTTTTTTAATATGTTCTAATTTTCCTCTGTGAAACATTGGGGGATATGATATTGGCTAAGAATGCTTTCATACGGGCCTTTTATGTAGAGTTGCCTTGCTTTGTTATTGGTAATAGAAATCCCTATCCATGCACCTATGTTTTCCTCTTTCTTCCTTCTTTCTTTTCTGGAAAAAAATGCAAAATGAAAAAAATGTAATAGCTGTATAATGACCTTTGATGGTCATTATACCATTAAGGTTGCTTTGATGGTCATTATACCATTAAGGTTGCTAAACTTTGTATGCTTTCAAGACAAATGCTCAGAGCCATTTGTCTTGAAAGCATACAAAGTTTAGCAACCTTAACGGAATAGTGTTTTTGGAGAGATTGTCACACATGAAAGATAAATTCTTCCCCATTTTCTTCGCACCTTTTGTGGATCTCTCATACCTTCTCAGCACATTCGGTGACAGTACATTTAGTTTTAATTAGTGTCGGATCTGTGTCAGAGACAGACATGTTCACATACCAATATTAACTGTGGACTTCATTTGGTGGTGCTATTATTTTCCCCACTGGGGAAAAATGATATAATAGTAAATGTGTGGAGTGTTGGCAAGCAGGAGATGACATAATACCTAGAAAAAGTGATCTAGGCAAATAAACAGATTTCTTTCCCTATCTGGTGCAGGCAGTTGTTGTGAGGCTGACCTGTATATTTGTATGTGATTATTGAAGTCACAATACATTGAAAGGTTTGTGTTTAGGAATGAGAATTATGCTGTCTAAGTTCATTATGCTTTTCAGTGTCACATTTTCACATTTGAATTTAAATCTCTTGTTGAATTGGCCACCTGTGCAATTGATTTGCATCATGTGCATTGGGGTCTCATTGTGGTATCATTTTCTTTGGGAAATATTGTTTTGTTTACATTTTCAAAAATCTGCTATTGTTCCTGCAATAAACAATTCTTTTGTAATCATAATTTTCTTCTTCAATATCTGAGGTGCCTAGACCATGTTATTGTTTATAAAATAAACAATTTGCATTTTGATAATTTGAATAACACTGTTTCATTTTACTTATCCATCCAGTTACACTATAATTTATATAGCAGCAGGCCAAATCTAGATAGAAAAAATTCAAATGATAATTGGGACAGCCCCTACTAAGATCTGTGCATTTTTGATGTGGTTGTTCTATTAATTTAGTGCCAAAAACTGAAAAGGCTTTATTTGGGCAGACCTGTGAGATACCTGTCATCTCATGTTTGGGCCCTGAAGAGAAGGGCCTCCACAGTGTAAAAATGCTCTTAAAGAATCATAAAATAATGGAGTGGGAAGAAACCATGTGGTCCATCTAGTCTAACCCCCTGTCATGCAGGAAAAGCATACTCAAAGTAACTCCGACAGGTGGCCATCCATCCTCTGTTTAAAAGCCTCCAAGGAAGGAGCTTCCACCACACTGCAAGGCAAAGAGTTCCACTGCTGAACAGCTCTTTTAGTCTGGAAATTCTTCCTAATATTCAGGTGGAATCTCCTTTCCTGTAATTTGAACCCATTGCTATGAGTCCTAGTATCCAGGGCAGCAGAAAACAAGCCTGATCCCTCTTCTTATGATGTCCTTTCACATATTTATACATGGCTATCATGTTTCCCCTCAACCTTCTATTTTGCAGGCTGAACATACTCAGTTCTTTAAGGTGTTCCTCATAGGGCCCGGTCTCCAAATCGTTGATCATTTTAATTGTCTTCCTCTGGATACCTTCCAGCTTTTCAATATCCCTTTTAAACTGTGGTGCCCAGAACTGGACACAGTATTCCAGGTGAGGTCTAACCAAAGCAGAATAGAAAAGCACTGTGACTTCCCTCCATCTAGACACTATACTCCTTTTGGTGCAGCCCAAAATCCCATTGTCTTTTTTTAGCTGCTGCATCACATTGTTGGCTCTTGTTCAACTTGTTGTCCATGAAGACGCCAAGATCTTTTTCACATGGACTATTGTTGAGTCAGACATCACCTGTTCTGTATCTTTGCGATTCATTTTTTCTGCCTAAGTGTAGTGTCTCATATAGCTTGAGTTGGAAGATGTTGACTGTTGGGATACTGTGGTCCAGAAGATACAGCTGATCATTCTCTCTTGACTTTGAATCCAGTTAGCCAGACTGAAAATACCTTACTAATTTAACTTGTGGCTATCTCCATAATATCACCTTCTTTCTGTTCTCTTAGCAGATTTGCAGATGAGAACTGCTTTCATGGTGGTGCTATATCATGTTATACATCCAATATTTGAGATCATTTTATAACCACTTATGTAGGGTTAATGACAGTTAGTTCTCACATTTACAACTCTTTTTTTTTTCCATGGAAAGGGTCCAATCAGATTCATCCTACTGGTTGCATTACTAAAATAATGCCATATCCTTATGAGATATCATCATGAGAGAAACAAGTTCTGTGAAGAAAAGGCTGGGAGTGAGAGTGCTTGGTTCAAGTGTAGTATCATGTACAGTTGGCACTTGATTGAGTACCTCCCATAATTGCCTTTCTGGCAGTGAACTTATTTCCCAAGGTTCTTTGACCTGAGATGTTCTAAAAGTTTGTGTGCATATAACTCATTATCTGATGCAGATAATCAACACAGGAGACCCTGCCTTGTGATTTGCTAACCAGTGTTTCCTTTTCTTTCCCTTCTTCAGGTTGTCCCCAGAGCCTTCCATCCTCTCCCAATGTTTCTGACCCAGAAGGCCAGCGTTTAGTTAATAACGGAGCCATTTCTTCAGAGTACCTGCACCATGGTGGAGGTGGCAGAATCCTGCTTCTTGTCTGTAATGTTGCTGGGGCAGGGCAACAGGCAATGAGGCGAGTCCTGTTAGAGCAGCATTGTCATGTTGAATATGAGACTCTTTTAGCTTTAACAGTTGCTTGAATCAGAAAGAAGTTCTGTCAGAATGGATGGGAGTGGGTAGTGGCAGAAAACCATCCTGCAGCCTCTTCATGTAATATGAGGCTGAAGGTACTTTCGGTCCAGTGATGTATAAACAGACTTATAGGAAGGTGTGCATCAGATAAACAGATAGGTTAGGTGGGAGAGGGGTGCATCAGATAAAAGGTGAGTGAAGGAGGCAACATGTGTTGTTCCAACCTAGTGTAACTTGGGTCTTCTTGATCCAGGATCTGCAAAGTATTAAAACTATTGGACCCCTATCCTTTATTCAAGCTGGCAACTCCACTGTTATAGAGGTAAGTTCTTGCTAGCCTGTTTTTTTTGGAAACATGCATTTGATCCATGTTCACATGGGTCACGGTAATTCAGTGGGCTGGCTTTAGACCTCTTTTCTGCAGGGAATTTCCTATAATGTAGGTTATCTAGTGAACATTTTCAAAGTCAAGTGTTCTGCGAAAGCAGAGGTGCTCAACGAAATATATGCTGCTGCCTCAAGTTATTGCCTGAGGCTGAGGTCAAGATGTGTCCACCAATTCACATTCTCTAGCTGCTTAGGTGGACAGGTGACTTTTATTTTGATATTGGAAATGGCATAGCATCTACTATGGAGGCAAAAGGCAGCCCTCATGATCAAGATCACTTTCTCCTTCTGAACACCTCGGCACCACACAGCCTACCTTCCAACACCTACCAGCTGTTGAGAGGTTAAACTTTGGTGGCAGACTCTTCATACATGTGCTAGGTTAGGATTGCTGCTGTTCCTGAGGAAATGACTCCATGTTTTGCACAATACTGGGGCTGCTCACATAATTAGAAGAAGGCATTGGGTTTGGAGGCTTACTAGTATGGCTGTGTAAGAATTTTATCTCAGTACTCCTGATTTATCAAATGGAGTACTGAGCTTCTTGGGGCCTGGATCAATAGGCTATTGGTCTCCAGAAACAGGAACAGAGGGCCATTTTCTATTTTTTAGTTTCTTGACTTGCATGTTAGCATGATTATGTTGACTGTTGCAATTCAAAAATTCTGGAAGGTTCAGGAGATTAAGGAGCCAGTACTGCCTAAAGTGTAGCCCTGGGGCCAAATACAGCTCACCAAGAGTGTTTTTGCATATCTTGACATTTTCACACTTTCTGAGCTGTCGTTTTTTCTGTTTGAGGAGGAGGAGGAGAGGGGGGTGAATTGTCACTTTTAGAAGTCCATAAGAGAAACAATACATCTTTTATACAGACTACCACATTGCAGTCCTGTTTTATCTATCTATCTATCTATCTATCTATCTATCTATCTATCTATCTATCTATCTATCTTCATTTGTTTTGTTTTATTTGGTCTAGGTTGCAATCTGGCCAGCCATATAAGATTGCCAAACAGTTGTACACTCGTGTTTTAGATGAGGGGAAGATGGCATGGAGATCACATGGAGACTTCTGTCTCTTGGTACCTGTCTCTCAAAGCATTTCAGATAAGGAATTAGATTCTTGCCTTTTCTTCTAGATCCCAGTCTGCTAATTGGCAGTGCTGAAAAGCTGGAAATAATCAGATAAGCAGTGGCTGGGCTTGTTAAGAACTGCTTCTTTAGTGTGTAATTTGGCACAACATCTGGACTCTACAGAATTAATGTCTGATAAAGTAAGCATAGTGGCAAATTAACTGCCTTCCTTTGATGGCAGAGAGTCATCTGGAACTCTTGTGCGGCTGCTTTGGCTAACTTGGCCTGTGCAGCTGCTCTGGACAAACAACCACATGGCATCTTGAATCCACCCTATAACTTTGCTTGTGACAGTGAGGGTTTCTTTCCATCAGAAGTCCATGTTTCCCCATGTTGGAGATGGGGAAGCAGTTCTCCATTTTCCAGTAGCTGCAGGCAAGGATGAGCTCACAGGAGGGTGATTGGATGCTAAAGCACTGTAGGCAAGTAATGAATTCGCATTGCACATCCCAGATGTCATTAAGTAACACTCCACATGCTTGCAGTGGCTAATAAACCCTCATCGGCTGGGAAACAGCTTGTGACATGCTGAGCTTTATGGAAGGCAATTTATCTAGCAATATTTCCATGTTATCCAGACAGACTGAGACTCCCCCTCCCTTTTTTCCAAGGCTTCTGACCTTGTTTCTAGAAACCTATTTCTTTTCCAGACCTGAACTTCTACTTGTTTAAATCCTGCTTGTTCAATGAAAAAGCACACGGTGATAATAGGGCTTAAGATATAGGTAGAAAGGGTAAACACAAATCCCAGCTGATTCTCCAGATCAGAGGTTAGCTTTTGAATTACAGCTCTCAGGACCCTAAGTCATTGCCCATGCTAGCTAGCAAGTTTACAGAATTTTGTGCTAAGAAGTAACTATGCCGGACTATGAGGGCATCAATTTTTTTCATTCTTTCACCAGTTCTGTGGCTGTTGCTGTTTCTGTCTAAATTGACTGCATGTTAATTTCCCAGGCTGGACAGGAAATAGAATGGAGCTGTCATTAACAACTGGGTTGCTGAGCTTGATGTGGTACCTCTGGTTAGTTACAAGTTGAGTTGGCATTCAAGTTGGTCCAGAGAGTTGTGTGTGTGCTTCTAAGGGAATCATGTCAATTATGTAAACTTGGCACTTCTTCTTGGCCTGACAAATTGGCGAGATTGCCATTGGAGCTAGATTTCCTCACTCAGTTTATAATTCTCTGAGCTTTGGACCTGACTGGTTGCAGAACCAAAGCTATATAGCCCAGTGCAGAAAATAATGAGATGCTAGAGGAGAACTGCTTAATGTAAATCCTTGTTCTTTCACATTGCATAGTAGACAGGGCAGAGTGAGTGTGTGGAGAAGGTGCTCTCCAGTTGAAGCAAGCATTGCTACTTAAATGATGAAAGCTTTCATGGCATTTTTTCCTATGATTTTCAGTATTTTTCTTGGTAACTTCTGTGAGTACCTTGATGAGTTACCCAAGCAGACTGAAGATGCCTGGAGTACTAAGCTGTCAATCTGGCTAAGAGATATGCTAGCACCACCATAGCTTTTAATGCCCAGTTACCAGCTGTGAATGAAGCTCCCTTTAAAGCCAGTAATCAAGCAGTTCAAATGAAGAGATGCATGTGCAGTTTTCAAATCCTAAGGCAATGTGTTTATGTGTGTGTGTGTGTGTGTATAGCATTTTCCAAACAAACACAAGAGCTTGCTGTAGTCATAGAAAGTGAAGCCTAAACGTAAATACACACACTGTTTTCTAGTTCTGGAAATATATAAAGGATTGTTTAGATTTCCTTTCAGTTACAGAATTGAGAAAAAGTCATTTCTACAAAAAGGTTTTTTTAAGATCTTGCCTCCCAAAATGTAAGCCTCTACAGTGAAAAGTCTTGCCTGTCCCAAATCTTCCATGCAGACAGTCGGAACAGGCTAGACTTTTCCTTAAATAATTATCTTGGCTTTGAAGTGGAAATAAGATTTAGGTTTCCATTTAGTCAATTTGCATAGTCCTCAAGCATGCCTGCCCTTAACCTAAGATTGTTAAATGCCTTCCATTCTACCCATCTATCTTATGCTAGACTGTTTAATACAAGAACTGATTGTACGCTATTAGAATGCATAGTAAGTAATCATGAGAACTTGCTGAGAAACCATTAACTACATAAAAGTTACGTTTTGCAAACAAAAGGTTTTGATCAGCAACAGATGCATAAAGATATCATCAGATTACCAAAGCTTCTCTTAGATATATATTAGTACAGGGAAGACATGAGTAATAGCACAGATTTAGAAGTGTAATGGAAAAGTGGTATTTCATTATGGAGCAGAGCCATTCAAAAGGCATTAAAAAGGCAGATTGGATTACTGTAATGCACTCTACATGGGGCTGCCCTTGAAAATGGCCCGGAAATTTCAACTGGTACAACGGGCGGCAGCCAGGTTACTAACTGGTGCGACTTACAGGGGGTGGTCAACCCCCCTGTTTAAGGAGCTACATTGACTGCTGTTCATCTTCCCGTCCCAATTCAAGGTGTAGGTTCTTACCTACAAAGCCCTGAACGGTTTGAGACCCGCTATCTACGTGACCATATTTCTGTGTACGAACCCACACGATCTCTTCGATCTTCCGGAGAGGCCCTGCTCGCGCTCCCGCCTCCCTCGCAGGTGCGATTGGTGGGGATGAGGGAGAGAGCCTACTCGGTGTCCCCCCCCCCCCCCCCGACTCTGGAATTCACTTCCAAAGGATATCAGGCATGCCCCAACATTGGCAGTCTTTAAGAGGAGCCTGAAAACATGGCTATTCCAGTGTGCCTTCCCAGAATAAAGGAACAACTCCCAGAAAAATATCCTTACAAATGCACTTTAACCATTGGGTTGCATTGGACTGTACCCCTCACTTTTTAAAACCCTCACTTTTTTAAAACCCTCCTATGAGATATATCCTATCTTGTCATACCCAGCATTATTTTTTAAATTTTAAATCATTACATCTGGCCTGGCCATAAGCTTTTAAATCCTGTGTGTTATTGTTAAAAGGTAAAGGTAGTCCCCTGACATTAAGTCCAGTCATGTCTGACTCTGGGGTGTGGTGCTCATCTCCATTTCTAAGCCGAAGAGCCAGCGTTGTCCGTAGACACCTCCAAGGTCATGTGGCCAGCATGACTGCATGGAGCGCCGTTACCTTCCCGCCGGAGCGGTACCTATTGATCTACTCACATTTGCATGTTTTCGAACTGCTAGGTTGGCAGAAGCTAGGGCTGACAGCGGAAGCTCATGCCGCTCCCCGGAATTGAACCTGCGACCTTTCGATCAACAAGCTCAGCAGCTCAGTGCTTTAACCCACTGCGCCACCAGGGGCTCCCGTGTTATTGTTATATGTGATTTATATTATTTTTTATTGTTTTGCATTGTTGTTATTGCTTTTCTGTTGTGATGTGTTGTTGGACTTGGCCTCATGTAAGCTGCTCTGAGTCCCTTGGGGAGAAGGTGGCGGGGCATAAATAAAGTATTATTATTATTATTATTATTATTATTATTATTATTATTATTATCCCGATGGAGAGAAGCCCATGTATGCTGTGCAGTTTCCCCGTACTGCTAGTTGCTTCTCTTGATTTATCTTGACAGGCTCCTTTCAAAGGTTTCATTAATTATGGTTTTCTGTGTCTTCACTGTGATGTTGGAAATTTCCTTGGGACTGATGTAGAGAATGGAGCGTGTGCATCCAAACAAGCAGGAGTCATGCAGTACCTCCTACTGGCCACTTCCTTATGGATTTTCTTTTGGGGAAGAGAAATGATCTTAAGAGTGGGGAGCAGAAGTAGAAACTTTAGCTGGCCACCATACACTATTGCCTCATGTCAAGGAAGCATGCACAATGCTTCATCTCATCATCCCAGCTCACACACTTCCATTAAGCTGTCCCAACCAAGCACATTTAGAGAAGATTTGGGTGAACAAGGCAGTGTGTGTCTTAGAATCATAGAATCAAAGAGTTGGAAGAGACCTCATGGGCCATCCAGTCCAACCCCCTGAGTCTTGCAGAACTCAGTTGCACTAGTGAGGTGAATCCTGTGCGGCTTTAATCCTGCTGAAGTCAGCAGTGGAGGACTATAGTCTTTTACAAAATTTGGACTGTACATTGAAATTTTAATGAGGCTGCAGACTTGAGGAAGGGTAAGCAGGCAATGAGATCTAATCCCACATAACCCCATTAGTTACATATCAAGCATAAATGATTTTTTAAATTTCCCCAGAGAAGGGCAAGGTATCTATGCAAAATGATGAGTAGTGGAAAACTGAAAGTGTTAAATCCAGGACTTTCTGCCTTGTAGAACTTTACTGGTGTGTATTTTTGCAAAATAATAATTCTAGCATAAGGTTCCTTCCTTTGCATACAGCAGTCATGTATTCTTGTAGAGAAGAAGATGACTGTCTAGCTTTGAATTGCCAGTTTGTGGACCTTGGCTGGTGGGAGAGATCTCATTTTGAAGTTTTGAATTTAGTATAGACATAAAAGGTAGATGTTAATAATAATTGTAGCAACATGTATCTTGTTGTGTTAGCAAGCTAATACCGCTATGATTTGGGCTGATGTCTGTCCTTCAGTCGCTGACCATCCACATATAGGGAACGCAGCTGAACAGGATTCCTTCCTGCAGTCAATTTTTGAGCACAACATTGGTTTTTCGCTGCTGCCAGTTACAGATGAACAGGAACATAAGAAGTAAAAATGAGTCTTGTGAGTGGAACAAGGAACAACTGAAACATTGGTTATGCTGTGTGTATCTTTGTATTATTGTTTAAACAAGCTTTGAATTCGTATCTTTAAAATGAATTGTTTAGCTATTCCTTAATTTTGTATTACTAGTTGTTTTTTTTAGCTGAACTTAGTTTTAATTTCTTATGAGCTACCTTCTGTGCTGGGAGAAAGATGGAATAATAAATAAACAAATCTATAGCTGGAATTTGGAAGGCTTTGAACTATGTGTATTCCAAACATGGTGGCTCTATTTCATGAAGAAACAGCCTAATATTGTTACATCTGTCGGTAAATGAGTCATTAAGTGTGTGTTCCATACCTTCTGTGCAAGCAAAGAGAGTTGGAGCCTGTTGTCCTTGCTACAGTGTCTCATGAAGTTCTAAGTAAAATATGATGACTCTTTATGATGTACGGCCTTTGAGTTGTTGTACTTTGTTTTTATATATGTTAGGTTTGGCCCTCCACTACTGATGCGGGAGGACAGAGCTATGTCATGGGATCAACTACAGCAATGCATCCTAGGCAAAATGCGCTACCTGATGAGAAGGGAAGCCCAAGTGCAGGTGAGTAGACCTTGGTATCCAATCTCAACAGAGTATCTTACTCCAGCTTCTCCTTCTCAAAGCTTCCTGTTGAGCATACTGCGCTTTTGTTTTAATTTTTTTTAATAAGCAGAATGAGAAGAATTTGCCAGAGAGCTCATGGGATGAGAATAACCCTCTTCTAGACCCTTCAGAAGCATTCCTTCCCTTTCTAGCTCAGGAATCATGATGGGGAAAGGAAAACTTAATTAATTCCTGGGAAACTCTGGACTACTGCTAGACATTAATTTCATAAATTGTACATGCATTTCTTTATTGATAGATAGCAACATCAGTGTGCATGCTCTGTTACTAAGTTTCAGGAATAGGTTCCTGCTCCAAGGAGATTACATTCCAATATCTGACATGAGGAAGATAGTAGGAGGTGGAAAACAGAATGAAGACAGTAGTATGAATATGCAGCCTTTCAGTTAGATGTATTTCAGTTTGGTCACAGTAATGCACAGTGACAAGATTTGGAACTTTTAGTCTGGTTCGGAAATAACAAAATTCCATATAGGGACAAGTGACTCATTTTCAGTGCTGGATTAATTTTTGTATGCATGCACAGAACTGCTCTTTCAAAGTTGTTCCAAGCGAGTAGCATTTTAATTAAATTACAGCTTATTAAGTCATAATTGGATGCCACAAGGGATCTAAAATTAAATTTGTCTGCAAAATGAAGATTGATTATCTCATCCAGATCCAGGGTAGTTACTTGGACATTTTTCACGGATCTTTTAGGCCAGCATGATCAACACCATGCAGAACTCTTGAAGTGGGAATGGTCCTGCTTTAATCACTTCTGTTTCTTTCACAATGAACTTTTGGAAGTGAAAACTGCAGCATTAAGTTCTGATGGTAGTTAAAGCAATGGTATTCCCTGTAGTTATCTATGGATTTTTGAGCTGGATCACAAGGAAGACTGAAGGAACAGTGAAGAAAGATAGGTACTTTTGAACTGTGGTGTTGGAGGAAAATTCTGAGAGTGTCTTGGACTGCAAGAAGATCAAACCAGTCCACACTCCTGGAAATAATGCCTGGCTGCTCACTGGAGGGAAGGATATCACAGGCAAACCTGAAGTACTTTGGCCACATAATGAGAAGACACGAAAGCTTGAAGAAGATAATGATGCTGGGGGAAATGGAAGGCAAAAGGAAGAGGGGTCGGCCAAGGGCAAGATGGATGGATGGTATTCTTGAAGTGACTGGTTTGACCTTTAAGGAGCTGGGGGTGGCCACAGCCAACAGGGAGCTCTGGTGTGGGCTAATCCATGAGGTCACGAAGAGTTGGAAGCAACAAAGTTCTGATGATTCATGCACTTTAGGAAGAAAACCTTTCTTTTAAGAATAGGTTTCCCCTGCCATACCTCTGTTCACAATGAATGTTTGATAGGGTATGGTGCCTTCCTTTCCGGATAGAATTTGTGAATTGCAATTGTTACAGGAAGTGAGATTTATAGACAATATGGCGCTCTGTTTACAGGCATATCAGTTCTAGAGTCCTTGTCAGCAAGCATTCACAGCTGACCAGTGGCATATGAAGTGTTTCTTAGCTTAGCAGGTTCTGCTAGATAGTTTATGCTGCAGTTGACCAGTTCAGAAATGGATTGGTGGAGTCAGTTTTCTTGATAGTAACTTATTTATGCTTATTACCTGCACAGTTCAGTTTCCTTGGTTGGGTTCTATTCAATGCAACCTTATACCAATTGCATTACTCTGAGGAGAAGGTATACTCCAGCCCAAGGCACCCATGCTCCAGCCGCAATGATATACAGTGTTGTCCCTGGGATAGCTTGAGTAGAATTTGCTGTTTTACAGAACCCAGTTCTACCATTTGCTATGAAGGGATGCAAGACCCTTCTGCTAAAGGATTGTGGTTGTTTTTCTCTCTTTACTTGCTACCCATCTCTCCTGTTTTATCATCTGCATATTTGATAAGCATGCCCTCTATTCCATCAGCCATGCCGTTTATAAAGACGGTGAACAAAATCTGGCTAAGAACAGAATCTTGAACAACCCATTAATCACCGCTCCTTAGGATGTGAAGAACTGTTGGTGAATAATCTGGGTTCTCTCAGTCAATTTTGATCAGATTTTACCAGTAAGTCTTGGGGAGAATTGGAACTACATCCAGTTCTAGTTCAGAACAAGGTGTTATGTAGGGAGTCAATCTTTGTTTTGCTTTAAAAGCTGCCTCAGTCACTGCACCAGATGGAGGCACTGTGGGAAATTCTGCCCTTATCCGTGACAGCTATGCTCATGGCAAGGAATGAAAACATCCAAAGTATTTGTGACTGGTTCATTAATGGCCCCTTTCTACATAACAAGAGACCTGCAGGATCAAACCTACAGTAAAATCACGGAGCTGTTAGCCCTTTCTAGTAATCCTAGATGAGCATGGCTTGACTGTGGTTATTCAGTGACAAATGAATGACACTTTGCATATGTTGAAAACTGTGTTGTTATTATTTTATATAATCTGGTGTTAAGGCCTAATAATCAGATGAGGAAGCAAATAAGTATCCTTAATATAGAAATGATTTTGGGTATGCTAATTTAACTACAAAGAAATCATAGTAATTCCAAATGTGCAGTCTGTGGCTTTCTTACTCCGTATCCTTTGGGAGAACAGAAATAAATAAACTAGTGATTTGGACTGCAGCATTTCCCATTGATCTGTGAAGTCCATTATCTAGTAGCCTATAATAATGAACTGTTAGGAAGAAAATAATGTTTTTTCTTAATGTGCCAGTCAAGGAATCAGTGCATGGGGACCAATATGTCCTTCCTCATCCCAGCAGTTTTTGAAAAGCAGTAGCACATTCTCTGTCAATTTGCCTTCACTCAGTCAATCTGAAACGCAGCCTCACTTCACTGACTAAAACAATGATTCACTATTGTTGCCCATTGAGAACCCCAATGGGCTGCACTCAGAAGTTTAAAATCCAAGCAGACACAGACAATGGGGTATGAACACATGGTGGTGTTTCAAGTCTTCAAGGTTGCACTGGGATGGAAAGCGTTGGATTTCAGGAGGAGGAGATCATTCTAGCTTCTTGGATGGAGCTGCTTTCAACATTGTCCAGTGTAGAATCAGAGTTTTAAAGGGCCTTCAAGATTATCTAATCCAGTGGTTCTCAATCCATGTGTCCCCAGATGTTTTGGCCTTTGACTCCCAGAAATCCTAACAGCTGGTAAACTGGCTAGGATTTCTGGGAGTTGTAGGCCAAAACATCTGGGGACCCACAGGTTGAGAACCACTGATATAATCCAACCCTTCTCTGATCAGTATGTGGTATTCAGCCCAAAGGATATCTATTTCTTTAAATTATCCAAAATCTGTTTTTTAAAAATAATTTCCATGTGTTGGTTCTTGTCGGCTCACCTTGTTGGCAACCTGTCAAATATAAATCCCATTTTTAATTAATTTTATTTGTGTTCCATTTTTTTATTAATTTTCAGGAGAATATGGTCAAATCAATGCTACTGTTATATACTGTTAAATAAAATAGACTTGGCCACGGTAGTCCACGCTCTGGTTACATCCCGCCTTGACTACTGCAATGCTCTCTACGTGGGGTTGCCTTTGAAGACGGCTCGGAAGCTCCAACTAGTCCAACGGGCGGCAGCCATGGTACTAACAGGAGCAGGACGCAGGGAGCATACAACTCCTTTGCTGTACCAGCTCCACTGGCTGCCGATAAGCTACCGGACCCAATTCAAAGTGCTGGCATTGGCCTTTAAAGCCCTAAACGGTTCTGGCCCAACATATCTATCCGAACGTATCTTGGCCTATCAGCCCACCAGGACCCTAAGATCTTCGGGAGAGGCCCTTCTCTCCATCCCGCCTGCTTCACAGGTGCGGTTGGCGGGAACGAGAGACAGGGCCTTTTCTGTGGTGGCCCCGCGGCTTTGGAATGCCCTCCCTACAGAGATAAGATCAGCCTCCTCACTGATGATATTTCGGAAAAAACTAAAAACATGGATGTTTGAGCAAGCATTCGGCTAATCTGTCACGATGTTGTTTTTGACCAAGGACTGGCAATTACCGACAACGAATTGGATTGTGGTTTTTACTTAAGAGATGCACTGGTCTGTATTGGTGGCCCAATACTGTGTATTATATATGTATATGTTTTTATATTTTTAATCGGAATATTGTTGTTTTAAATGTTGTTAACCGCAGTGAGTCGCCGTTCTAGGCTGAGATACTAGCGGTATATAAGTGTACCAAATAAATAAATAAATAAATAAATAAATGGACTTGTAACTGGTTGATTGAAAGAACCCAAAGATTTCTCACCAACAGTTCTTCATTCTGGAGAAGAGTGATGCCTGGGGTGCTTATAAAATTTGAGAATGCAAACACCATGGAGGACAAGATCATAATTCTAAATTAACTGTATTAGTTGGAGATCTGTGACAAAACTAATGAAAGAAATTTCAATAGGGACAAATGTAAAGTACTACATCTACTGCACTAATATAGGATGGGTAACACTTGAGTTGACAATAGTACACCTGAAAAAGATCTATGAGTCCTAGTCAACCATAAATTAAACATGAGTCAGTAGCGTGATGTAGCAGCTACAAAAACAACAGCAGCAGTTCTAAGCTTTATCAACCAAATTAAATTGTCAAGATCAAGATAAGTCATCGTATCACTCTATTCTGCTTTGGAAAAACTTCGCCTGGAAAACACTGTCCAGTGTAGGGTATTACAATTCAAAAATCATGTTGACAAACCAGCATGGCCAGAGGAAGGTGACCAAGATAGTAAAATATCTGGAAACCAAGTTATATGAGGAACGGAGTAGGAAACTGACCTTCCTACTTCTTTTTTGAAGAAAAGAAGGCTTAGAGGTGAACGGAAGGAAAGATGGAGCAAGCTTGTTTTCTACCGCTCCAAAGATTTGGACATGAACTAATGGATTCAGCACAAGGGCAGAGATTGTACCTAAACAAAGAAAGAGCTTGCT